ATCAGTCTCTTGCACCCTGTCACTCTATATCACACCACATCAGTTTCTGTCACACTCTGTCACTATCACACACCATCAAGTCTCTATCACACCCTGTCACTCTATCACACCACATCAGTCTCTCTCACACCCTGTCACTCTCACACCTTGCTCTCTATCACATCCCATCAGGCTCTTGCACCCTGCCACTTTATCACACCCTATAACTCTCCATCACACCCCATCAGTCTCTTGCACCCTGTCACTCTATCACATAATTACTCTCTATCACAGCCTGTCACTCTTAATCACACCACGTCACTCTCTGACACCATCACTCTCTATCACACCCCATCAGTCTCTTGCACCCGTCACTCTCTTACACCTTACTCTCTATCACACCCTGATCAAGCTCTTGCACCCTGTCACTCTATCACATAATTACTCTCTATCACAGCCTGTCACTCTTAATCACACCACGTCACTCTCTGACACCATCACTCTCTATCACACCCCATCAGTCTCTTGCACCCGTCACTCTCTTACACCTTACTCTCTATCACACCCTGATCAAGCTCTTGCACCCTGTCACTTTCTCACACCCTATGACTCTCTATCACACCCCATCAGGCTCTTGCACACTGTCACTTTCTCACACCCTATCACTCTACCACACCCCATCAATTTCTGGCATCCTATCACTCTCTCACACCCTGTCACTCTCTATCACACCCCATCAATTTCTTGCACCCTGACACTCTATCACACAAATACTCTCTATCACTACCTCTCACTCTTTGTTACACCCTGTCACTCTCTGACACTATTACTCTCTATCACACCCCATCAATCTCTGGCATCCTGTCACTCTTTATCACACACTGCTTCTCTCTATTACACAATTTCAACATGTATCACACCTTGTAAATGTTTATCACACTGTCCCCTTTTAGCCTGAATCACACACTCTCAGTTTTAATCACACTCTGTTACACTTTATCACACCCTGTCACTCTCTATTATGCAATTTCACTTTTTATCACACTCTTTCATTTCCCAACACATCCTGTGCTGAACTCGAAGTAATAAACTAAAGTAATTCTGTGTTACTGAGTCTTTTCTATTGAGTGTTGGTACACATCAGAAAAGCAGCTCACAGATGTGCAGGTAGACTTTGGTTTGATAAATATAAATTCCCTGTAAACAATTGCTAGAGTTTAATTCAGTGCTGGGTAATCAGGACGTTTAGGGTGTCATTACTGATGAAAAGCTGTCATGAAAGCTCACATAAATCCCTTAAGAACAATAATATCTAAATATGTTGCAGTATTGTACAAATTGAGGGAGTTATTTATTGATAAAGCACTATTTATATTATATAATGCAATAATTGTTCCACACTTGGTCTATTTTATTGAAGTCTGGGTTAAAGCATGTAAAACAAAATCTCATTTTTGTTTTACAGAAAAGAGCTGTAAGAATTATTACAAGAAAACATTACTCACCCATGAAATACATTATTTTATCAATTGAAATTATTAAAATTTTATGAGTTGGTTGATTACAATATTTTACAGGTTCTGTATAAGGCCCATAAAAACACATTGCCATGAAACATCCAATTGAACTTTGTTAAGAGAGAAAATTATTACAGTCTCAAGGGGATAGAGATGTTTGTTAAACTTCGATTTAGAACCAGTTTGAAGGAACAGTATTATTCAGTCCAAGGAAAAAGGTTATGGAATAATCTGGAGAGTGATGTGAAAAAGGGCAGATCAATGTTTATGTTTAAGAAAAAGATCAAATTAAATAATGTGTATCTATGTAAATTGTTGTTTACCAAAGTTTTGATGTTTTTGGTTTTTACAAATTACTTTTGTTCTAATTTATTCTTGGGAAATAAGGGGCAGACATAAGATATTTTCTGCTTTCTGCTGCCTTTCATTTTATTTATTTTTTCTCTGTTCTCTATTGAGTTCATTTTGTTTTTTTAATGAAACATTTTTTAATAGAAAAATAAAGATAAAAATCCAAAATCACATCATTTCTTTGATCCAAGTCTGAAGACAGAGGGATCAGCTTCCTGAGGTCCAGGACCTGAGACTCGTCCACTTGCTTCTGTAAAACCAATTAGACTGAAGGAAAGCTCAGTTTCACTTTGACAAACAGCTCCTCCCACCTTTGCTTTGGTGTCGGAAAAGACGAAACATTTTAAACCCTCCTCAGTAACACCTCCTCATGGCTAAGTGATCCTAGGATCAATGTCGGGTTGGACCTTCTCTGACAAAGTGGTCCTATAAGGGTCTCCCCCTGCAGCCCATTCAGGCTCAGACAGAATGAATTCTTCCTCTGGGCTTACCCCCTGCAGGAAGGAGCGGACCAAAGAACTGAGACTTCTGAAAAACCAGGTCTACAGATGAGCTCAGTGACTTCATCAGACCTGCTGAAACATGGACCTCCTTCAGAGTGGGCTCAGGTGTTTGGGGGTCTCTCATGTTGTCCTCCTTCTCTCAGTTTGACGCCCTGTTCCTGGTAGATTTGCACACAATGGATTTAACAGAACCCCTGGGATATTTAGGGTCTTACCAYTCTGACTTGTACTTTTCACTAATCCCTCCTTTGTGTATTAGGACCGTCAAAATAAAAGCATGTAAATATTTATACAATAACTTAATTAGAATTTGTTAAAACTGAGTTTCACTGACAGTGAAGAAGGTTGTGTTCTTTGTTTTGTAAAAAAAAAAAAGCCAAATTAAACAGACTCTAACTGATTTATAAGAATAAAATCATAAAACTAAAACTGTACCAGGTTCTGAACTGATCCTGTTTTTACTTCATATCAGATCAATAGAGGTTTCCCAGCATCACACACTTTCAGCTAACTCTATAAACTCCTGAGGACTATCTGATGAAAGGATTAGAGAATATGTCTCTTGTTGTATAAATCACATTTGACCTAAACCAATATAAATCTACTGACGTAGAAGAAAATGTTTAGCAGAAGACATTTCAAAGCACTTTTCAGCAGTGGACAAGAACCTAATCCCCCTCCGCTAATCCCTCTGCCCTCCTTCTCTGAGGGCCTATTGGTTAATCCCTGTGTCTGCGCGTCCTGATTGGTTAARCCCTCTGAAAGTGCAGTGCACATGTAATCCTCTGTTTGTTTCAGAGCAACATTTGCAGTGTAATCCCATGTAGGAGCAGATGTGATGGGGGAGGATAGCTTGGAGCAGACCTTCAGGAAGGTGAATCCAGGAGAGAAAAACACCTCATTTCACAGAAACGCAAGGAAAGACAGGTTCAAAGTGTTCCAGCGTCTTTTTAATGGGTCTAAGTGAATAAACCCAACGAGCCTAAGTCTTTGTGTGCCTCTGACAAACAAAACAGAGAGAAAACACAAAGTCTGTAAGGATGATTATCCCAAATGTTTCAGGTTTCTTTGAATTTAGTTCAAACTGATCGTTGGCTCCCACCATGCCAAAGTTCAGCTAAAWAWTTTTTTTTTTTTCTGGATGGCCTCCCTTCTCCCCTTATAGCCATCCCCTCCACACCATTATGTTTTTTTTATTTTTTTATTTCTATTTTTTTATTTTTTTGTGAAGAGAAAAATAGAGACAGAGAAAAACAGAGAAGTAATTAGAAAAAATAGAAAGACTGAAATAGCGATTAGGAATGTATTAAATATACACCAACAAAACACAGGACCACACACCCAACATCTGTCCGCTCACCTGAAAAACAAATGGATAAATACATAGAAAGCGTAGAATATTTCTAAAAAACCGCTGATTTGTAGCTATTTAAAATTAGCACTGGTGGCCATATTGGATTTTGTGTTTGAATTTGGATTTTGTTAAAGATTGTTYCTTGGCTACAGCTACACAAATTTTAAGCTTTGTTTGTAAAAATGTCGGAATTATAGCTTTTTGTAAGATTTGCTTTAGCTGTAAGCTTTTATAGGAACTACAATTTGGCATTCTTAGCTACAATCACACAAAATCTCAGCTCAGTATTTCCTAAAAAATCTGATTTAGAGCCATTTGAAACTAGCTGTTGTGGGCATCTTGAATTTTCTAATTTATTGACATCTTAAAAATGTGGGCGGGGCTTGACTGAGTTTGTTTACTTTGTTTATTGGAGATTGTGGCGTCAATGTTYCTTCTTCCTGACAGTGATTTATGGAACTTTACTGAACACATGAAADCAAATGTCAGGATGGCCGAGTGGTCTAAGGCGCCAGACTCAAGCAAAATCCTTCCCTCGTTGCGTGTGGGACTTCTGGTCTCTGAATGGAGGCAAGGGTTCAAATCCCACTCCTGACAAAGCTTCGATCAGCGATGACWTTTTAAGCTCATGACCTGACAGTACTACATGTTGAAGGTTGCAAATTACACATTGTCGAATTTCAGMTCSATATGTCTAAAAATAACAGAATTGGGGCCTTAGTGGCCATCTTGGATTTATTTTTTTAATTTCAGGATTTGTTGAGCAATGCTCTCAGCTATCACAATACAAAATTACTGATTAATATATTTCAAATGTTAGTAGTTACTATTGTACAGAATATCAGCTTTATGTGGCAGAAATTGGCTCAAATACAGTACATTTGTTTCTCAAATTAGCATTAGCTCTCAGCTTAAAATTTAAATAAGATTTCAGAGTGTCAGTGGGATTGCTCTTGGCTCCCGCCAAATTTCAGCTAAATATTTTTCTAAAAATGGCTGATTTGTAGCTGTTTAAAATTAGCTATGGTGGCATTATTGGATTTTGTGTTTGAATTTAGATTTTGTTAAAGATTGTTTCTTGGCTACAGCTACACGAATTTTAAGCAATGTTTGTAAAAATGTCCGAATTATATCTTTTTGTATAATTTGCTTTGGCGTAAGCTTTTATTGGAACTATCATTTGGCATTCTTAGCTACAATCACACAAAATCTCAGCTCAKTATTTCCTAAAAAATCTGATTTAGAGCCATTTGAAACTAGCTGTTGTGGCCATCTTGAATTTTCTAATCAATTGACMTCTTGAAAATGTGRACGGGGCTTGACTGAGTTTGKTTAYTTTGTTTATKGGAGATTGTGGTGTCAATGTYTCTTTTTCCTGACAGTGATTTATGGWACTTTACTGAACTCATGAAAACAAATGTCAGGATGGCTGAGTGGTCTAAGGCGCCACACTCAAGAGAAAATCCTTCCCTCAATGTGKGTGGGACTTCTGGTCTCTGAATGRAGGCGTGGGTTCAAATCCCACTCCTGACAAAACTTTGAGCATTGATGACTTTTTAAGCTCATGACATGACAGTTCTACATGTTGAAGGTTGCAAACTACACACAGCCTGATTTCAGCTCGATATGTGTAAAAATAACAGAATTGGGGCATTAGTGGCCATCTTGGATTTATTTATTTAATTTCAGGATTTGTTGAGCATATCTATCAGCTACCACAACACAAAATTTCTGATTAATATCTTTGAAATGTTATTGTCAGTTACTATTGTACAGAATATCAGCTTTATGTGGCAGAAATTGGCTCAAATACAGTACATTTGTTTCTCAAATTAGCATTAGCTCTCAGCTTAAAATTTAAATAAGATTTCAGAGTGTCAGTGGGATTGCTCTTGGCTCCCGCCAAATTTCAGCTAAATATTTTTCTAAAAATGGCTGATTTGTAGCTGTTTAAAATTAGCTTTGGTGGCCTTATTGGATTTTGTGTATGAATTTGGATTTTGTTAAAGATAGTTTCTTGGCTACAGCTACACAAATTTTCAGCAATGTTTGTAAAAATGTCCGCATTATAG